TCGTTCCTTTTGAATTAAAATTAAATATTCTTCTTCTGTTATCAATTAAATAATTTTGTTTTTTCCCTTAATAGATCATTAATGAGAAAGTAGTTGTATAGTTAAATCAAAGGGCAAGGGGTTAATCTTATTGGTTAACCCCTTACTGTTAATCTTCCTTGTTTGGAGGTTACATAAACAGTGCCCTGGAAGGGCAATGTTTAGCCACGGGACCTCCTCTTGTCAGCGTAGTCCTCACTGTGTTTATTGCGCCATGGGGGTCACCGGTGACCCCCAACCAAATCGAATTACTGTAGTTCACTCAATTAACACTAAAACTACCGAGCAGTCAAATTGATATGTTCAGATTTTTGTATTGAAACTCTAAAAATGCAGCTCTTGGGATTTCGATTGGCCTATGATTCAATTTGCTTATTACTAAATCAATTTCTTTAGTAATTTCGCAAAGAATTTTGTCTGTCTAATAACTGGGAAAAAAGAATTTAGTAATGGATTAATCGCTCAACGGAACGATGATTGTTTGAAAATATTTCTATGTTATATGTAATGTTACCTAATTTCGTGACATTCAACTAGAAGATTGTGCAATAATAATAATGCAATTCAACAATAAAACGAGGATTATTTGTAAACATTTCTATATTATATATAATGTTACCTAATTTCGTGACATTCAACTAGATGAATGTGTAATAATCATAATGCAAATCAATCGAACAATTTGGTATTATACTTTTCCGTTGTGTGTATTTTGCTCGGTGAAATCGTGCGGCGTTCAACGTGTTAATGAAAATTTCAGGTTTCGTGTCATTGAAGTATATAGCGTTTAACATAATTATAGAGCATTTAACAAGATTAGTATATAATCCCAATAAAAATTGTAACAATAGATCATCTCTAGACATTCGTTATAGTACTCAAGTGAAACTATTTATTTTCAAGATCATTTCGAATATTCAATGCTTTAAAAATATTAATAATTACAAAATAAGAAAATCTAAACCGGTTATTTTGACTGGAACGGTAGTTCTAGTATTAAGAGAGCACCGATTGACGAAACGCAGACCACCAGAGTTCGACTTTCCCTTTACTAAAATTATCTTACAGATATGTACACCAATTTTGTTTATTAACACATTATACGTTGACTACATATCAGCTACAGTTATAGTTACCTAAATATTTAACTTATCAAAAAGAACAAGCGGTTTTTTCGTTTTTTTTTAGGATCTGTATTATATACATCTAAAATGTCGCAATAATGGAGAACCAGTCGTTAAGCGGTGGTTTAACCCTTTGCACTCGAGAGGTGACTCTCAGTCACCACTTGATTTGCTGCAGTAAAACAATCAAATTTGATATTTAATATTCAACTGTGTATGATGCATCGGTATGTGAAATGTTCGGCTAAAATAGCTTTGTCTCTCAATTTACTTGCGATTTCTTTTTCAGTTAATTTACACAAATATCATCTTCGTCTAGTTAGAAAACGTTAAGTATTTCTAACGAAAGGGTTAACACTAAAACTACCAGACGGGTCAAAGTGACTCATCCCTGATATCTTCATTTCGCAATTATTAAAAGACAACAGGTGTTTCTCTAAGAAATTATCAAAGAAATTGATTTGAAGAATAGTTAGTTTGTAGGAAACAGTGTAAACAGTTTTTTTTATTAAACCTTAACGGCCGAGAGCTTTTCTTGTAATACTCGCCCATAAGACGTTACATTACGGTAAATACTTTTTGTCAGTGCATGATCAATAAACTAATCATGTAATAAGTTGCAATATTTGATAAAGAAAACTACAGCGATGATAAATAAATGAAATGAAAGCTAAATTCTTTTCATGTTCCAGTATTGAGGCATTTCGTTTTCTATGGAATAAGTGCTATGTCCACGTAGAAGGGCCTTTCGGCTGTTAACCTCTTGGCTTATGACTTCTTTTTCAACTCTGATCGATACGGCTGCATTGACATTAATCATTTATTGGAAAAAGAGAAGAATTCTAAACATATGTTAACGCCTCTATTTTCTTTAAATATAATTTCCTCGGTACATGTCGACTTTGTGCATCTCACTATACACTCTTGTTTTGATTCTTATTTGTATTTAAAGACATAATAATGACCTCGGTAGATAGTTTATCGTTTGGCTTATTATTAGTATAATGTGAGGAAGTGGATTGTGTATAAAAACAAAATGTTTGCTATTGCAATAGTTTTATTTTATTAATTCACAAATTATTGAAAATGCTGTCCTTGCAATCGCATACATAGTTCAGTTCTTCGCAGATTATTACGGACGCTTTGTAAAGAATTCTGAGCTTTTAAAGATTCAAATGCGAATAATATTTTATCTTTTAAATGCTCTTTATTCCTGATTTATTCAGAGTATACGATATTATTGATATGACTCCAGAGGTAAAAATCGAGTGATCGCGGTGGCTAAAGTATTGGCCCACTACGACCTATCCAATGTTCATAACGTTTATTTAAGAAATCTCTAACTAATAAAAAACGAACTATAAACTATCAACCGAGGTCATTACTATGTCTTTAAATATAAATACGAATCAAAACAAGAGTGTATAGTGAGATGCACAAAGTCCACATGTACCTAGTGTACACGTGCCTAGAAAATTTTCGACTTCGATTTTCTTTTTAACACGTTGAACGCCGCACGATTTCGTAGAACAAAATACACAAAATGGGAAAAATATAATATCAAATCATTTCATTGAATTGCATTATTATTGTTACATGTTCATCTAACTGAATGTCACCGCATTATGTAGTGTTATTTATAATATAGAAATGTTTCCAAATAAGCAACGTTTAATTGAATGAACTAAAGTAATTCGATTTGGTTGGGGGTCACCGGTGACGCCCGTGGCATTCAACGTGTTTATCTTTTTTTTTCCGACTCATTTTTACATGTAGAATGACCTAATTCATTGACCGTAAGTATATTTGTTGAATCATGTTGAAAATCTTCATCACGAGTCACACTCGTTGTAGAATAAGAGGTTAAGGGTTAATAATATTGAAAACCGCGTAATAATATATTTTATTATAAAAATATCTTGACCAAGAAGCACACCTGTGAATAAAACTGATATCGAGTCACACTCGACATAGAGGCGCAAAGGGTTAACCCTCTGTACTCGGAAGCTTTTCACTAGAAACATTCGACACTTTCCTATGAGACGTAGATGACATTATTCGAGACGAACTAATGAGAAAATATACGTAAATTAAAAAACAAAGCTAGTTTATAGAAATATTTCACATATTTCGAAACTTAATAGTATATATATAACACTTTGTAATTTTATTATATCGAATCAAATGGTGACTGCGAGGCACCTCTCGAGTGCAAAGGATTAACACGTTGAATGCCATGAGGGTCACCGGTGACCTCAACCAAATCGAATTACTATAGTTCATTCAATTAAACGGCGTTTATTTGAAAACATTTGTATGTTAAAAACAATGCTACCTAATGCGGCGACATTGAGCAAGATGAGCGCGCAATAATGATAGCGCGATTCAATCAAATGATTTAACCCTTTGCGGACGAATGTCTACATTTCGGTGAGATGAAAGTTTCGTATTTAACACTATTCCTACCGCGAGCAGTCAAATGACTGTTTTTAAAATTTCGATTAGAATTTCCTATAGACAACGTACTTGAATCGCCTTTATACTTCACGACTTTTCCTCAAATATATGTATAAAACATTTTTCAATATTCACTCCTTTTTTTATTGCTTATTTTCTGAGAAAAATTTGTAGCCTGTCTTACCTACCACGACCGGTCATTTGACCGGTAGAACGATTTATATCTTTTTGTAATAGTATTCTCTCAAAAACTCAATTCCGAAACTATAAAGTCGTTACAAACGAAAGGTAACTCAGTTGTGGCATAATTTTAGCCAAAAAGGATCTCTCAGGGACTGCTTTACGGTACTTCCAAGTGTTTACAGTTCTCGCTCGCCTATCGGTCTCGGTAAAATCGGTAAAATCTAAATGTCGGAGGTGGCCTTTACAGGTATTTTTCTATATCCTAGATTTAGCCGGGATAAATGCATGGATTTTACATAAAGAATCCACGGGAGAAGAAATTTCGAGGCCGGAATTTTTATTTCAATTGGCAGAAGAACTTGCCATTGAATATCAGAAAGAACTAGAGTTAGGCAAAAAAAAATCAAGCAACACCCGTCACAAATACAAGTGAAGGTTCACCCGAACGGAAACCATGCCAAATAAGATATTGCACAAACAATAAGACTAACAGAATCTGTCTAAAATGTAAAAAGTACGTGTGTGGGAAATGTAGAATCGACAAACCTATTTGTAAAAAATGCGGTGAAAACGAATAAACTGTAAATTATATACTTCTAAATAAAAGAAACTATATTTGTATTCTGTCAAATTGGCTATTATCATCATTCTATATTAAAAAATATAAGTTGTGTTAATGACCAATCATTTGACTGGTCGCGGTAGGAATAGTGTTTAAAAACTAAGTCGTCGACGAATGATTTGATTACTCGAACAGCAAGATATCAGTACGTAGTTTGTTTTATATTAATTAAGCAATTGACAAGTAATTCAGCTTCATCTGCTGAAGGTTTCGTATATTTTATAGAATCTCCGTCCGCAAGGGGTTAATGTTATACCTTTTCCATTTTGTGTATTTTGCTCTATGAAACCGTGCGGCGTTCAACGTGTTAACCCTTTGCACTCGAGCGGCGCCATTCAATCGCCATTTGATTTGACCGAAAAAAATGATCAAATTTTATATAATGTGTCGACACATGGTACACCGAAATAAATTAGTTCTGTCACTTAATTTACACGAGGTATTTCTTTATGTCAGTCGTAAAACATATCATTGATATTTAATCAGAAAGTAATGAATATTTGCTGAGAAAAATATTCTCGAGTGCAAAGGGTTAATAGCGAAAGTAAAGAGTACGGCGAGGGGTTAACACTAACCTGTAGATGCATTGTCGCGAAGGCGAGCAGCTCGATCGATCTTCGCGGCGATCGGATCGGTGAACTTGACTCGTTTAGGTTCGCCGTTCGCCGACGCGTGCGTCAGCGACAGGAGCGGGAGCGATTGGCAACCGGTGCGATGAATCACGGAGCGGCTACGCGTTTCTCATATGGCCGGGAGTGTGCAGGAGAGCAGGGCGGGCCGCGTCGCGCGATGCTGCACGCCGGACACATCGGACACGCGTATCGACCACTGACCCACATACGGAAACGGCTGCGCCGTTCGATACTCGCCGATTCGCTGAATTAGACGATACAGCCACGCCACGCCGCACAATGCTCGATGAATCGACAAAACTCGCTCGAAAATCAGTGTTACTTGAAATCTTACCTTTTTCTTTTCTTTTTCCTGATATTAACCCTCTAAGGGCCGAATTTTTGTTCATGACTATAACAAAATCTATGCAGTACAAAATTAATAAATATCCACGTATGAATACGAATTAACAATGTATTCAATAGTTTCAATAGTTTCAATAATTTCATTAAAAATTTAATTAAACATTTCAATAATTTCATTAAACATTTAATTAAACATTTAATTAAACATTTCATTAAACATTTAATTAAACATTTATATTTTGTAACTTTCAAGTTGCAATAACGTTGAACTGTCACGCCTGAACGTGTAAAAGTTCAAATTAACTGATTACTTAATTTTATTCACCACTTTGCACACCGGAGATTACTTTCTGACTAAATATTAAAGACATTTTTCGCAACTAACATAATTAATTATGTGATGTAAATTACGGTACAGAACTGTTTTATTTCGATGCTTCATATGGACCGTTTATTTTGAAAGTGGTGTAAGTCCATTTGCAGCCCGTAAGTATACATCAGTTTAGTAAAATACGCCTAAAACAAATTTATATAAGCAAATTACATATTGATAAAACAGTAGAAACATTGCCAGACTTCATATAATTTGCCTAAATTTTTTAATTAACAGATATGTTAACCTCTAATTTCCTCGAAACAAGAGAAAATGGACTTACACCACTTTCAAAATAAACGGTCCATATGTTGATACATTACACAAGGTTTGACCCTTTACGATTGGCACATTTTTCTGGCGGCAGTACCAACTAGTCGAAGCAAATATATATTTTTAAAGTTATTCTTCTATAGGTGATTTATAATAAATATATGGATTATGTTTTTAAGCTAATGTATTTTGTCGAATATATATTATAGTAGAGAATAATAAGTACGTATAACAGCTCTCGATCGTAAAATAACACTGTACCCAGAAAAAAAGATAATTCCGCCATATTGTCGACACCGATTTTGAAGACACGTTAACCCTTTGCTCTCGAGAGGTGAGAGGTCACTCACCACTTGATTTCATACAGTAAAACTATAAAATTTGATATTTAACATTGAACCGTGTATAATGCATCAGTGCGTGAAATATTGAGATGAGGAAGCTTTGTTTCTCAATTTATTTATGATTTCTCTTTGAGTTAATTTCCAAAAATATCATCTTTGTCTAGTTAGAAAATGTTAAGTATTTCTAACGAAATACTTTCGAGTGCAAAGGGTTAAAATAGAGTCGCTGTGAGCGACGCTGGCACTTTTCGGACAAATTTTCAGCGTCGCTCACCGTCCTGTACACGCTTCATTCTCACGGTCCCAAACACTCCTCGGTAATTATTCAGTTCAAGGTGTTACCCACCGATTTCGATGATTTTTAGATATGTTGTCGGGAACGTAATTTTAAGTAACTTTCTCCTATGTACATAAGTGTCGCTATTTCTTAAGTTTCAAGGTAATCGCAAAAAGTTTTTACGTTTTTACCTATACATACGCAACTATCACACAATTCTCTCTGTTATGTAGTGTACTGGCGACCGTCAATTGCCCGATGACGTAGTAACGGAACAGACCGTATTATGCATAGGGTGTACGTTAAGAAGAAGTACCGCAACAGTAGTAGAATGGCAACAGATCTTCACAAAATCAGCGTATATTATAAAAATCGATGTTTACATCAACTTTTTTCTGTGACAAGAGGATTACTAAAGCTTAAATAAAATTTAAGGGGGATTTATTTTATTAATGAAAAATTAATCAATAACAAATTTTTATTAATATATATATATATATATATATATATAGTAAGATTTCATTTTAATATTAGTAGTTATTCAAAAACGTATATAAATTTATTCCTATATTAAGGAAATTTTCGCATTGATATTGTTTGGGGTAGTTTTTTAAGGGCTGGGAGGATCTTTTATTTCATAATTGCCCAAAAAACGCATTCAAACTAATTGTTAACAATTATAAACGAAAAGAATACCCCTCCTCCCCAAAAAACTACTCCGACCAATACCAATACCAATTGCTGTTATTCTTCTCAAGGGAAAAATTTGATGAGAACATCGATTTTTACAATATACATCGATTTCGTGAAAATTGGCCTTACCGTCATGGTTTCTGTTTCAGTCAGTTCACCCGTTATATCTACGTACTCTCGTTCACTACGATGTGTTTGTAGTAGCGGCAGATAAGCTGTTGCCTCAGCCGACGCATATGCTAGTCGAACGTGCACGTATAAGCACAGTTCAATGTAGTAATACCAAAATGACATATCGAAAAATTATCGAAATCGGTAGGAAACACCAGAAACTATAAATTACTCACCCTTCTTTCGCACTTCTCCAAGCACTCGAATTTTTCACATGCTTTCACGTTTATTTCCAAACAAACTGACATCGGCCAGTAGCAACACGACACCGACATGCTCGAACAATGTGTAATAATTTTGAGGTTTGTATAGGAGGTGCAGTGGACAGAAACAGTAAAATTGCTATGGAAAATAAAGAATACGTTTATTGAGACATGGTTTAACCCCTTCGCGACGGCGCACCTGTACCATTCTTCGCTACTTTTCGCAACAGTGCGACTGACCATACTTTGCCACTTTTCGCGACGGCGCGACTGACCATACTTTGTCGTCGTTCGCGAAAGCGCAAGTGAACCATACTTCGCCACCAATGTATTTATAGCTTTATTTTGAGTTCGATATTAAAATAAAATAATAATATAAAAGAACCAGTAAGTGACTGCCGTATCTAGCCGGCGTCAGCCGCTGTAAAGTAATAAATGACTGCCGTATATACACGGCGTCAACCGCTGTGATGCACCAAGTGACTGCCGTATATACACGGCATCCGTCGCGAAAGGGTTAAAATACAAGATCTATTCTACGCGATGGTTCGGCTGAGACTGACTGCAGCGCCGCTTTCGCCAACGATGAGACACTTAATTTATGGTCCACCATCGGGCCACGTGCTTTAAGCACTTCTCGAAGAAAACAGTCCCGTGTCGCGCCAGGCGCTCGAACCGAATCTCCTATTACAAAGCAGAGAGACCGCCTCCTAGCACGACACAATCACCCGGTCGAACTTCGCAGATTTTCCAAACCGCAGTCATTGCACTTTTGTCTAAACAAACCGATCAGGCAACGCGATCACCCGAGGCACGCTCGACTATCCATACTGTAGCGTTACTATCAACCGTTTGCACTCGATAATATTTTTTGTTATAAATATTTATTATTTTCTGTTGAAATATTGGTAATACTGTTCGCAAGAAACGTAAAGGAAATTCTTATATAAATTAAGGTTTGGAACTAATTTATCTCTAAGGTTCATTTGTTGATGCCTAATACAAAATTGAATATTGTGTATCATTGTTCATAATTTCGGTGTATCGAATCAAATGGCGAATGAGAGTCGAGTGCAAAGGGTTAACCATTTTCACTTGAAATATTCAATACTTTCCAGTTAGATGTAGACGAGATTCTTTAAAATTAATTTATCAAAAAATCATGTATAATTAGGGAACAATGCTATTTTCTTTCAATATTTCACGTATTGATGCAGTGTACAAAGTTAAATGGTGAATACAAAAGTTTCTAATTTTACTGTATCAAATCATCTGGCGACTGGTAGTCACCCCTCGAGTTCAAAGGGTTAATTAGCACCCTTTTCGGGAATGCGGACAGCGGGTTCCGAGCGTCCTTCAAGGGGAGTAGTACAGGGGCGTAGCATTTTTAACGCGTCGAATACCGCACAGTTTTATCAAGCAAAATACACACAATGGAAAAAAAAGATATTAAATCATTTAATTGAATTGCATTATTATTATTGCACATTCTTCTAGCTGAATATCACGAAATTAGATAACATTGTTTATAATATAGAAATGTTTCAAAACAATCGTCGTTTTATTGATTAATTCCATTATTATTATTGCACATTCTTCTAGCTGAATGTCACGAAATTAGATAACATTGTTTATAATATAGAAATGTTACAAAACAATCGTCGTTTTATTGATGAATTGCATTATTATTATTGCACATTCTTCTAGCTGAATATCACGAAAGTAGATAACATTATTTATAATATAGAAATGTTTCCAAGTATTCGTCAATTCATTGAGTGAACTATAGTAATTCAATTTGGTTGTTCAACGCGGCATTCAACGTGTTCAAGTGTCCCCTTCAATACCCACAATAATACTGATTTTCGTCCCACTTTGTAGATCAATAGATCAATCGACCACTGTGCACCACTCTCTCTCTTTTTACCCACGTTCCACGCGGCGAGTCTCGTTACTCCGGCCGCGGTACGCGCGTTCGCGCCTTCCTCTCTTCAGCCTCTCACGCGAACAACGAGACGCGCGCGGATTGCTCCTCGAAGGTAATCGCCGCTACCCCCGCGACGATCGATTCTCGTCTTGGAAGCTCAAGGTCTTGTCGGATGCCCGAATAACGACGTCGAACCGGTTCGATGGGAATTTATTCGAACGTGTATAGGCGATTACGCGGTATCAAGTGGTTCCAGTGGCGATTCGTGGTGAGGCTGCAGCGAGGAAATTTAGAGTACAGTGGACGTCGAATGATTGTAATATAGACTTCTTCGTAATCGCGACATCGTCGTTACCACCCCATCTGGTTTCTTTAACACCAGAACTGCCGTGCTAGTTAAAATGAGTGGATCTTTTTGTTTCGCAATTATTGGTATCTTGAAAGCATTGAGTATTCGGAATAAATAGTTGAAAATAAATAGTTTCACTAT